ATGAATCTCCCCAAGCATCAGTACCTGGAGTTTGAGGAGGAGTGACATACGTACTCCTGTGGCTGCCACAGCTAGTGTCAAACTGTGTTGCACCCTAAGTCCACTGCCTCCCAGACCAGGACAGCATTAGACCTTGCCCAAGGACTTGCTAACAGAGGGAAAAAAATCTGTAAAATATTTTGGAGTGGCATGTTTTGAGCCAATATGAGTGATTATGGTCTTGGGAACAGTCTTAAGAGGTTCTGAGAAAGTGTGCCTGAAGCAGGTAGGTTATAGTTTGGTTTTATACATTTCCAGGAGACAAGAGTTACAGGCAAAGATATAAATTGATACATGCAAAGTATATATTGATTCAGCCCAAAAAAAAGGACATCTCCAAGTAGGGACTTAGTAATTATAGGTGGGTCTTAAGGATTCTTTAGTTGGCAGTTGGTTGAGAGGGTTAAGCTATTATCTAAAGGCTTAAAGTCAATAGAAAGTAATGCTTGAGTTAAAGGAGGTTGTGGGGTCCAAGGCTCTTGTTATGTAGATGACTTCTCATAGGTAGCAGCCCTCAGAGAGAATCAATGGCAAATATCTGTCTCTTTGCAGACCTTTGAGATGTCAGACTGTCAGTTCAACTCTGCTAGATCTGGGAAAAGCCTAGAAAGGGAAGGCCTGGCTGCATTCATGGAGATTCTCTACAGATGCAAATCTCCCCCACAAAAGATAGCTTTGCAGGGCCATTTCAAAATATGTCAAAGAAATATATTTTGAGATAAAATATTTTTATTCCCTACAAGGTCTGCTATCTGTCATGTCTTGCTATATCAGAGTCAGTTGAAAAGTAAGCCATATTACACCAGGTTTATTTTTATTTATTTATTTATTTATTTATTTATTTATTTTTTGAGACAGAGTTTTACTCTTTGCCCAGGCTGGAGTGCAATGGCACGATCTTGGCTCACTGCAACCTCTGCCTCTCAGGTTCAAGCAATTCTCCTGCCTCAGCCTCCCGAGTAGCTGGGATTACAGGCACCCGCCACCACACCCAGCTAATTTTTGTATTTTTAATAGAGACAAGGTTTCACCATATTGGCCAGTCTGGTCTTGAACTCCTGACCTCAGGTAATCCACCCACCTCAGCCTCCCAAAGTGCTGGGATTATAGGAGTGAGCCACCATGCCCAGCATATACCAGGTTAACTTTTAAAACCCATTTAACAATATTTTATGATTTGTAGGGTGTGATTCCTTGCGTGAATGGCCTGAGATCTTGTTTATAATTTGGTATCTTATTGCCACAGAGTCTGTTTTGTCCTACGATCTTTTAACTTGAATGCAGGTAAGTTGTGCCTAAACTCCAAAGGGAGGGGATATAACAAGGCATGTCTAACCTCCCTTTGCCATCACAGCCAGGAATTCAATTTTTAAGATTTTTCTGGGGTCTCTTTGGCCAAGTGGGTGTTGATTCAGTCAGTAGGGGTAAGTTGGGAGTGCTTAGCATTTTATGTTTAGTCTACATACTTTAGTCCTTGTGTCCTGACTGCCACTCAAATAGATTCAGGACCTCAGACCACTTTAGTTAGCCAGTGGTGAAGATAGCCATGACCTGGGTTTCTCCCTCTGGAGCAGAGAATTCTCCTCTGTCCCAAGGCCTGCCTAAATGCGCTGTCGGAATTCTGGGTGCCTGCAGAATTCTATCCTGTGTTATGTTCCAGCACTGACTTCTGATACAAAGTCCCACACTCACTTTGCTCTCTCTCCTTCAAGCACACAGACCCACACTCACTTTGCTCTCCCTCCTCCAAGCACACAGATTCTCTTTCCTGCTGTGCAGCCTGTGGTTGGAGGAGGGGTGGTGTAGGCAATGCAGGGAGATCTTCCCTCGCCCCCCTACCCCCACCCGGTCTTCAATGCCTCTTTCCTTATCATTTAGGTAAAAAAAAAAGGCACTGTGATCACTCACCTGATTTTATGGCTCTTATGAAGGTGCTGTCTTGCATGGATAGTTGTTCTACTTGGTGTTCCTGTGTGGAGAACTATCTCTGGGGGGTTCTCTGGGCCCTCTCTCCAATCAGTCTTTAAACTGCTGGCACCGAAGCCTCCAGTGCCTTCCTCCTCTATATCCCATGGAGAGTTACTGAAGTAGTTCTTTTTGGATTTCAGTTGGCCTTTTATTAGAGCCTTTCTCCTAGAGGATTAAAACATGAGACTGCGGGCTTGAGCCAAAAAGCAGTCAGAGGGACAAATATTGGGTTTTACTTAGAATAACCCACCTGCCACCATGCCTGGCTAATTTTTGTATTTTTAGTAGAGACGGGGTTTCACCATGTTGGCCAGGCTGGTCTTGAACTCCTGACTTCAGGTGATCCACCCACCTTGGCCTCCCAAAGTGCTGGGATTACAGATGTGAGCCAGCGTGCCCAGCCTCAAAAGTTCATCTGTGAGCCATGTTTAGAAGGTAGATAAAAAAATTTGACTAAACACAGTTGAGAATCTATAAATTGTTTAAACTTCAGGTCTGTTGAGAACCTTTGAGATCCATTATTTTCGGAATGTTTTCTACCAGAGAAACAGGACAATGACTTGCAAATATTGGTTTTCAGTATTTACTCTATAGCTCAAGCAAACAAACTTTTTTGCACTTAAAATACAAATATTACCTACCTTGATTTGAGTGTTCTTGTTCTCTCTTAAATTTCATTTCCCAAAAATGATGGCAAAAGTACTGTTTGTTTTAACTTGACCCATCTTTTGCAACCCAGCTTAATCATTTCACAGACTCCCTTTTGAAATAAATGGGCTAGATGATCAGACAATAGTGGCAAATATTTGTCATTTCAATGACATATGCAACAGATACCTTTAGTGAAATTGGTATATCAAATTTCCCTTTGTGCTCCTTTTTTTCCCTGGTGAATTCAGCATTAAAGTGTAAATATTTTTAGTGTATTATTTATTAATTCAAGCAAAGAATGCCAATGTGACCATACATATCTCATTTATATATCGTCAAATATCTCATCTAGTACGAAATATGCTTTAGTACACATTTGCTTTTTTATGGTAATTTTAAAGAAGAGACATATTAATATTAAAGCCGTAAACCCTAGGTGCACCCCCTTAAAACAAAAAAGGCCGAAGCGGCGGTGGTTGCAGGGAGTTCATAGCGCACCAGCAGCGCCAGTGGCCTCATGCCTGTAATCCCAGCACCTTGGGAGGCCGAGGTGGGCGGATCACAAGGTCAGGAGATCGAGACCATCCTGGCTAACACAGTGAAACCCCGTCTCTACTAAAAAAAAACACACAAAAAGTTAGCTGGGCGGGTGGCAGGCGCCTGTGGTCCCAGCTACTCTGGAGGCTGAGGCAGGAGAATGATGTGAACCCGGGAGGCGGAGCTTGCAGTGAGCCGAGGTCGCGCCCACTGCACTCCAGCCTGGCGACAAGAGCCAGACTGCCATCTCAAACAAAAAACAGGCCGGCGCGCGCGTGGCTCAAGCCTGTAATCCCAGCACTTTGGGAGGCCGAGACGGGCGGATCAGGAGGTCAGGGAGATCGAGACTAGCCTGGCTAACACCGGTGAAACCCGCGTCTACTAAAAAAATACGAAAAAAACTAGCCGGCGCGGGTGGCGCGCGCCTGTAGTGCCCCAGCTAACTCGGCGAGGCCTGAGGCAGCGAGATCGCGTGTGAACGCTGGAGGCGGAGCTTGCAGTGAGCTGAGATCCGGCCACTGCACTCCAGCCTGGGCGACAGAGCGAGACTCCGTCTCAAAACAAACAAACAAAACAAAAACAAAAACAAAAAACAGAAAAGCAAAAAGAAAAGAGAGTAAATTAAAAGATTCTAATGAAAATAAAACATCATAAAAATTAACTTAATTAAAAATCAGCCAGGCATGGTGGCTCACGCCTATAATCCCAGCACTTTGGGAGGCCAAGGCAGGTGGATCACCTGAGGTGGGGAGTTCAAGACCAGCCTGGCCAACATGGTGAAACCCTGCCTCTACTAAAAATACAAAAAAATTAGCTGGACGTGGTGGGACACATCTATAGTCCCAGCTACTTGGGAGACTGAGGAAGGAGAATCCCTTGAACCTGGGAGGCGGAGGTTGCCCTGAGTCAAGATAGTGCCACTGGACTCCAGCCTGGGTGACAGAAAGAGACTCTGTCTCAAAAAAAAAAAAAAAAGTATAAAGATAAAATTTTAGTATATTGTGAATTAGTTATCAGACTCAATTGTTATAGGAAGCTTTGTTTTTCTGGAGTTCTTATATTAAAATTATTAAAATCCTTACTGAAAAGTATAGCGTATTTTCTTTAAAAGAAAGATATTCTATATCTGAATAAAGGCAAACTTTGAATGAGTGGTGTATGACTTAATAAATATTGGAGACTATCGATTCTCCAATACTTAGAGAATGACGACAGCATCCTCAGCATGGCATTTTCGTTGCCAGTCACAATCTTTCCTCCACCTAATGTTCTCTAGACTGAGACAGACCAAGGAACAATTCCCTAGACCTCCTTTGCAGAGCTAAGTTATGCTCAGACCATGTGCAGCACCAAGGACACTGCCATTCAGGTCTCCAAAAAAGGTCATCTTGTGAGCCCTGTCTAAACCAGGCCTTTTCTAAAATCATTTCCATTTGAAACTGAGTCCAAGTGTGTCTCCATCAGTATTAGAGTGGACCTGCCAGATGTGTGCTTGCAGATGATGCAACATCAAAGCAAATGCCCTGGGCAAGAGAAGAAAGGCCAAAGCAATGGGCTTACTGGTTTGTAGCTTTAAGCCACTCTTCATAGTACCAAATTCCCATTTTAGAGTCCCTTTATTTGTATTAATAAAAATAAATTCCCTGGGTGTAAGCTCCTATAAAATACTCCCTATGTGTATTCCTGGGCATGAAAGGGTGTTTTAGTTCCAATTCTAGTTTTCCTGCTTAGAGGTTCACCTTTCTGACATTAATAATTAACCAGATTATCTGAATTGTTCAAGTTCAGTTTATTTAAAAGGAGAATATCCTCAAAAGGGTTATATCCATGATTTCCTGCTACCTCCAACCATGGGCCTTTTGGGAATACTTTGTTTTTTAATCTTCCTGGGAAAAACTTGGGGACAGGAGCAAACGTAAGTAAAACAAGCTATCTTAATTTTTCAATGCATCTTAGTTATGATGAATGAAGAGTTAAATTTAACAGATTGTGTTAATTTGAAAATAATTTGCTACTTCTGAGAACACCAAGTGAATAGTATCATCTCTGAATGAGAAAGTCATGGAAGCATTTTGATTTAATGAGTAACCAACAACGTAACAGCTTTAATGAAATTGTTATTTATTGAAATTTGTGTAATTATTCAAATTCCTCTTCAAAAAAGCACAAAACAAACTCCAGATAATAAACTTTCTTGACATTTTTTGCTTATTTTAACTTGGTGTTTAGTTTTGTGTTTTTCATAGACTATATACAGTTAAACCAGGGTTATTTGGGAGTCAGTCTAATACTGTGATCTGAAAATCTGTTGTAATGACTTCTATAATACATTTATGAGCTGATTTTTCACAATTTTTAGTGTCATTATTGAGATAATATGCATTTTAAGTAATGTTTTAAAAATAATGATCTTATTTCTAGAAATGTTTTAATACTGAAAAGTAACTGTAGATTAATCAAACCTTTTCATTTTATATACGAGGATAAGTCCAGATATGGGAAGTGACTGGCCAAAAGTCACAGTTCTAGAGAGAGAGAAACAGGATTTTTATTAAGATCTCCTGTTTATCTCTTCAGTTTTTTTCATTTTGTCATAGATGTATGCATGTAAATATATTATATATAAACACATACTTAGGATGTCATTCTTTTTTAGAACTGTCCTATTTCTGATCTGTAATCTTATCACATGGCCGCAAACACTCCACTACCTTAGCATCCTGCCTTTATTATTTCTTTTTGAAAGACAACTAGCAGCTAAGACTTAGAGAGACTGAAATTAAGTGACTTCAAATTAGTGGCAGAACTAGGGCTAGGACCTGGGTTCCATGATTCTTGTCCAGACTTATTCTGAATTCTTTCTACTAGCCCTTAATAAAAATTATTTCCTCACTTTCTCTGAAAAAGTCAGAGTATACCATTTACAACATGGCAATCTATCACTTTAATTAATTGGTTGATTGATTGATTCAACAAATATTTATTGAACACCTAACCATATGATAGGCACTGCAGATACAGCAAACGGTAAGACAATTCCTAGAGCTTGTATTCTAGTGGGAGAAGCAAGTAATGAATGAATGTGCCAATGAAAGAATGTGTAAGGTCAGGTAGATAGTATTATGAAGAAAAAAATAAAGGAGAGTATGAGAATTTTAAAAAAAAATTATGGGGCACTATTTTAAAATGTGGCCAGGAAAGGTTCTCTTAAGGAGGCTGCGCTCAAACAGAGCCTGAAGGAAGTGAGGAAGCAAACCATGCAAATATTTGAGGAAAGAGCATTCCAGGTAGAGGCCAAAATAACATTCTTGCCTCTCTGCCAGCTCAGTAACCTGATCCTCTGCAGGAATTGAAAGACACAGAAAACTATGAAATTCTTTATATGGATAGATTATGCTACTGATAAGTCAATAAGAACCAAAATCTTTATGAAGGGTGGTTCCAGAATCATCTTTTAGGGGCCTCTAAACACTACGTATTTTACGCTTGACTGCTACCATCACATAGACCAGCAGTCCCCAACCATTTTGGCACCAGGGACAGGTTTTGTGGAAGACAATGTTTCCATGGACCGGGATTGGGGTGGGGATGGTTTCAGGATGAAACTGTTCCACCTCAGATCATCAGGCATTATATTCTCATAAGGAGCTTGCAATCTAGATCTCTTGCATGTGCAGTTCACAGTAGGGTTCATGCTCCTATGAGAATCTAATGCCACCACTGATCTGACAGGAGGCAGAGCCAAGGTGGTAATGCTCCTTTGCCCCACTGCTCACCTCCTGCTGTGTGGCCTGGTTCCTAACAAACCATGGACTGGCATTGGTCCGTGGCCCAGGGGTTGAGGACCCCTAACATAGACAATTCAAAATTAAAGCAATACTAAACTGAAAAACATAAAGCTTCTGTAAATACTGAAGTTAAAGTAGCTTTAGATTCCTAAATTTTTCTAATTACAAAACTTGATAAATTCTATTTAGTACAACAGTTGAAAATGTTAATTCTGGAAACGGGCTGCTCAAGTTCTATTCTTAATTCTATAATTTGTGACTTATAGAATTCATAAATCATATATATGTGGCCTTGGGAAAATTAATTAGCAGTTTCTTCCCCTTAAAACTGGAGTAATAGTTCCTCACAGTGGTTGTAACAACACAATGAGTTTATATATATTAAGTATTCAGAATAGTGCCTTATCACAGGGTAAAATTTCAGTAAATGTATCTTATTATCATAAAAGCTGAACTCCTCTCATTTTCTGCTATCTCCTACTAGGCATGTGGGGAAGGGGAATTCAGATGATGGTTGGAAATCTGGAAATTCTTTCCTCTCTTTTGTAATTTGCCTATAAGTGGATCCAAATTAGTTGTCATGTAGGAGAACTGCCAGATGCTTTGAAGGATTTAATTGCTGATAAATTAATTCCATTGTTACTAAAAACTTCCTGCTTTTACCAGACTCAAAATGTGATAATGTTGGCAGAAGCCTGGAATAATTCTGCCAGGTGGGGTGGTGCATATACTCCAAACTTGGGCCACTTGAATTAGTTGATCACTATGCCCTTCTGGGTTTAAACACTTTTTTTTCCTACGTAATAGCATATGTAGTCCTCGCTATTCAAATTAGATACTTTTGTGATATACAGTTAGTAATCCAGTTTATATTTGTAAGTTTTAAATAAAATAATTTTTTAAAATCACGTATTTTAAAATTTGTATTTCAAAACATGTATAGATTCACTTCCATTACTGTATAAATCACATAAAAAGTAAAAATAAGAGAACAGTCTATGGTTGTGAATAACATATAATCTTGACCTCAAATGTACACATAACAACTGAGAGAGAACTGATATAAAGTCCTCCCCCATTTACTTATAAACCGTGTAACCTTAGCCAAGTTAGCCTCTTACCACTTGCAAAATAGGAATAATGATAGTACCAGCGTCATTGGCTTATTGTAAAAATTAACAAGAGCTGTATGTAAAGTGCTGATACAGCCTCTGATATATGGCAAATACTTAATTACCATTATTGTTTGAAGATGATAATTTGCTCTTAAAGGACTATCATCACTATTTCCATTTCCAAATGCACTTCCCAGCTCACTTGTACTCTATACTTTTCGTTATCTGTTTACTAGTATCACATAGTACATAGTATTTCTAAGATCACTCCCTTTTAACTAATTTAGTGAGATTAATAAATCTTAACATATTGAGTACTAAGAGTGCTAGGCCCTTTCATATACATGTTCTTACTTAATACTTTACGAGAGCCTGGTAAAGAAGGTGATTATTTCCACAGTAAGTTATTTTAGCCTCAGAAAGAGTTAACGACCTTACCACGGTCACTCAGCCAGCAGATGCCACAGCTGGAATTCAATCGCTGCTTTTTTCTTCATTGAGCAAAAAATATTGACTCCATTTACATGTTCTGGTCAACACGATTAAAAGTCTTCCTTGGCTGCAGTAGCTAAGAGAAGGTGCTATTATCACCTTACCTTTCGAAATGTAAACTAAACCTCCAGCTTCATTTCTCAGGTCTTAATTCCAAACTACTTAGAAATTATGCCAAAGTTATGGTGGATCACAAGTACATTTTGACTTACTAATATCATTTTTAAGTGAGGAAATATATGTATTTTAAAAGGAATCTCTCAAATGAGAGAAAAAAATCAAAAGTATAAGAAAGTTTGTCCTATAAAGACACTGAGCCTTATTTTTTCCTTTTTCAATAGATATGTCATTTCAGCACCAAAAATATTCCGTGTTGGAGCATCTGAAAACATTGTGATTCAAGTTTATGGATACACTGAAGCATTTGATGCAACAATCTCTATTAAAAGTTATCCTGATAAAAAATTTAGTTACTCCTCAGGCCATGTTCATTTATCCTCAGAGAATAAATTCCAAAACTCGGCAGTCTTAACAGTATGTATTTATCCTTTATTTTCTTTATATATACAGAATATTCTCAATAAAAATGTGTACAATGTTTGAATATTGATAACATATAGATTTAATCATTTACATCCACTGTGGGATTATTAGATGATGTCAGTCACTAATGATAATATAAGTGAAAATTCTAACAGAAACAGAAAATTCTAAACAGAAGAGTTATGTCCACTTTTGAGCAATGCATGTCAATTTTCACATTCTTATTGGAAAATAAAATTGTACCAATGTGAAAATATTTGGAAATAATTGAAAATACTTATTTGCTGTGAAAATTATTATTAGAAAGAAATTGAGAATTATGAATATGATTTGATCTGTAGTATGTTGCCCACAAAAATCCATGGATATTATTGAACATTCAATTGAACTCTAATATTCTAAAATTATAGCTTCAAAAACTAAAAATTTTTTATTACTAAAGTGAATAGCTCTGATTGACAACCTGCAGTGAATAGAAAGAACAACCTTGATCAAATAACTCTTTCTCCTATTGAGATATTGTAGTATAGATTGCTTAGAGACATATTTGCAACTTATTTCTTACTAAAGATTCTGATACTTAATAAAGAAAATTAAAGAATATCAGACGTAAAATGGGCTCTGCAGTTCATTTAGACCAGAGTTTCTCTAAAGTGAGTTCTTTATAAAGAAATTAAAAATGGAAATTTAATAAAGAGCTTAAAATTAGAATCATATTGATTTTATAACATTTTGAATTTATTTTATAAATTTGTTTTGAGTTTTTAATTATACAAAAATCATAAGCATTAGATTATACCCAGTTTTAAGTTTGTACATATTTAAGTATCTTTGTAATAAAAATTATTTTGGTTATGTTATAAATAATAAAAAGTCAATGCTGAGGGTTCTCCATGACTTTTGTCCTTTAATGCATATTACTCATGTCTGAGAAACACTAATCTAAATAATTTCTAATCAAATATATGAATTCTTTAATTAATGTTCTTAGCAGTAAATGCTCATATCTCTTAACAAATTCTTCCACTTATTAGGTTCGTTAACAATTAAAATTCATTTATTAAAAGTGTTACTTTTATGGCACATGCCTGTAATCCCAGCTACTCGGGAGGCTGAGGCAGGAGAATCGCTTGAATCCAGGAGGCGGAGGTTGCAGTGAGCCAAGATCATGCCACTGCACTCCAGCCTAGGTGACAGAGTGAGACTCCATCTCAAAAAAAAAAAAAAAAAGTGTTACTTTCAAAAGACACTCTTTTATCTGATACAATGTATTTGTGGCTGTTAGTTTTAAATTTAAATCAATCAAATTTAACTGAAATTAAAAATGCAGTATCTCAGTTGCACTAGCAACATTTCAAGTGTTCAAATAGCCGCAGGTAGCTAGTGTCTGCCATAGTGAACAGCATAGATACAGAATATTTCTGTCATCACAAAAAGTCCTTTGAACTGTGCTGACCTATATGGTTAACTGAAAAACTAGATTAAGGTGGGGGAATCATAGTTGGTACATATTTTAGCTATTTAATTTTATCAGAGTAATATCATGTATCTTTATTTGCCAATTGTTTAATGTTGTACCAAGGTCCTTTAAGTGTGGGTCTATGGATTGCACTGTCAAATCTCATTTGTTATGTGTTACAACTTTTATGGATCATCTTTGTTCTATAGTTTTTTTTTCTTTCTTTCTTTTTTCTTTTTCTTTTTTTTTTTTTTTGAGACAGGGTCTTGCTCTGTCACCCAGGCTGGAGGACAGTGGTGCGATCTCAGCTCACTGCAGCCTTCACCAGGTTGAAGCGATTCTCCCACCTCAACCTTCCAAGTACCTGGGATTACAGGTGTGCACCACCACACCTGGCTAACTTTTACATTTTTAGTAGAGAAGGGGTTTCACCATGTTGGCTAGGCTGGTGTCGAACTCCTGACTTCAGATGATCCGCCCGCCTCGGCCTCCCAAAGTGCTGGGATTACAGGCGTAGGTCACTGTGCCCAGCCTGTTCTATAGTTTCTGTTTCTTAAAAGGGGAGAAAGAACTTAAAGGCACTTACAAAGCAATCTGGGTGCAGAATATTTATATATTTTTCTTGTTTTCCAAACTTTTACAATAATTTCACATAGCTAATTCTACAGCAGTTGGTTTTTGTAATTAACTTTCATCCCATGTTTCCAAAGCCTAAATTTTCATAGATACACTTTTGTTTTTTATCACTTTTCATGTATTAAATTTACATATCATTGAATGTAAAGGGAATAATTACAAACATAAATTAGAAAATGAGCATCTCAACTCATAGGAGCAGAAATATGTGGGGTAATACTAAGGGTCCAGAGAGGCTGGGCATGTGGGCACAGTGACTGATGCCTGTAATCCCAGCACTTTGGGAAGCTGAGGCAGGCAGATCACTTGAGGCCAGGAGTTCAAGACCAGCCTGGCCAACATGGTGAAACCCTGTCTCATTAAAAATACAAAAAAAAAAAAAAAAAGTTAGCTGGGCATGGTGGTGCACACCTGTAATCTCAGCTACTTGGGAGTCTGAGGCAGGAGAATCACTGAACCCGAGAGGCAAAGGTTGTCATGAGCCAAGATGGCACCACTGCTCTCCAGCCTGGGCAACAGAGTAAATGAGGCTCCATCTCAAAAAAAAAAAAAAAAAAAAAATCCAGAGAATCGGTCAGGAGGTTTCACAAAGGGAATGGGGAGCACGGGGTAACCCAGCAAACTAATTGAGTGAAGGTTTCTTAAAGGCGTTTATGGTAGTAGCTTCACTAAATGTACATAAAATTTAGGAAACATAGAACCAAAGAGACTTTCAATTGCTTAAAGCTAAATTTTTATTACGTAATTAAACACTAAAGGACTTTGGGCAAAATTTATTTACTCTTCTTGCTCCCGTATCACTTTTTAAATGATTACATGTACATACTCATTTTTCTAATGAGATCACAGTTGTATTTAGAAAATTAATGTGTTTAATAATTTTAGAATTATTATACTGTTTTCTATCAACAATTTCTTTTCCAGATACAACCAAAACAATTACCTGGAGGACAAAACCAAGTTTCTTATGTGTATTTGGAAGTTGTATCAAAGCATTTTTCAAAATCAAAAAAAATTCCAATAACCTATGACAATGGATTTCTCTTCATTCATACAGACAAACCTGTTTATACTCCAGACCAATCAGGTAGAGTATAAGATATTTCTTTCTCTGAGTAGGGTATCTGACACTATTGATACTATATTGTAGAGCTTTTTAATACCTGAAATTGAGTGGAGATCGGTTTCTTTCTAATTTGCTCAAAAGACTCTCAATTCCCAATGACATCTATACTTTCAAATATTTAATAGTATTTTAATTTTAAATTTATGGAGAAAGTGCTAAATAAATTGCAAAACCAACAATTACATTACCTTCCCCATCAGTTATTTCCAAGTAGAAAATGCTTTTCCAAAATCGTAAAATGTTATGTTAGGTCTTATTTATTAAACAAATATAAGACTTAATTGCAAATATAATTTGGCAATGGGAAAATAATTTATTATAGAACCATGTTCATGAAAAATTCCACTGAGTCTGGAACTAATCCCCAAACTGGAAAAATTAATCTAACCCTAGGGGATCAGATGTTTCAGCAGAGAATAAACTAGATCACAGAAATATATGGATATTAATTTTCAAAGGGGACCTACCTAGGAAAGTTTCTGTTAGAACATTGTTTAATATTCATGGTTCTTCTGTTAGAGGCAAAAGGGCAGAATAGGCAATCAAAATCATGTGAATAGGAATGACTGGACCTATTCCCAATGAACGAAAAGTAAAACACAGAAAAGTGTGAATGCTGCCCAATATATTAATGTGTTTGCAAAGCCTTCCATTCTCCCGTTTCTCCCTCTCACCATCACTGACTTTTAAGTGCATCAGAAATAGAATATGAGAGATGTATATGTGGGAGGGAGAGGCTATGGAATTTCATTAATGATATTCTTGGAGCAGGACAGAGAAAGGAAGTGGGCACCAGCTGACTTCGTTGAAAAACTGTACACAGTAGATATTTGCTACATGTTGGTTGATGTTGTTGATGAGAATAGTGGGGTGGAACTGGACTGCACCATTACCATTTCAGCAGGATCATTTGTTATGATCAGCTCAGAAAGGACAGGCCTAGAGTAGGTGGAGATATTGCTATCTGCTTGGCCAGAATATAATTGCCAGAATAGTAGCATCTCTTTACTCCAAGAGACAACTTGGTAAACAAGGAAATAGTCTCTGCCCACAAAGGTTGGGTCCTTTTAAACATAATTATACCTGGAAACAAGCATATCATCTCCCTTGTCCTCCTCCTACATTGAAGGATACTTTATTGCTTGGATTCTGTTGATACATCCCACAACTTAGGGTCATCAGTCTTTGTCCAATAAGCATTGTAATATCCAGAGCCTGGGACCTTCCTCGATTATCAAGGCTTTTCTTAAGAATGGCTTCACGTCTCATGCCTGTAATCTCAGCACTTTGGAAGACTGAGATGGGTGGATCACAAGGTCAGGAGTTCAAGAACAGCCTGGCCAAGATGGTGAAACCCTGCCTCTACTAAAACTACAAAAATTAGCCAGGCGCTGTGGCAGGCACCTGTAATCCCAGCTACTCTGGAGGCTGAGGCAGGAGAATCACTTGAACCCGGGTGGCAGAGGTTGCAGTGAGCTGAGATCAAGCCACTGCACTCTAGCCTGGGCAAAAGAGTGAGACTTCATCTCAGAAAGAAAAAAAAAGGCTTCATGTATTATTTCTCTATCAGGGCTTTACTGTAAGATGATGTAATATCTGGCCAGGTGCGGTGGCTCATGCCTGTAATCCCAGTACTGTGGGAGGCCAAGGCGGGTGAATCACTTGAGGTCAGGAGTTTGAGACCAGCCTGGCCAGCATGGTGAAACCCCATCTCTACTAAAACTACAAAAATTAGCTAGGTGTGGTGGTGCACGCCTGTAATTCCAGCTACTTGGGAGACTGAAGCACAAGAATCACTCAAATGTGGGAAGCAGAGGTTGCAGTGAGATCGCACCACTGCACTCCAACCTGGGCAACAGAGCAAGCTTGTCTAAAAAAAAAAAAAAGAAAAAGAAAAAAAAAAGAAGAATATGTAATATCCTCATTCATTCTAATCCTAGAGGAAAATGAGAGAAGTTTCCTATAAATATTGGCCCATTTCTGAGAGGTAGTGAAGTAAATTGGTTAAAAGCAGACTCTGGAACCAGATTGTCTGGGTTCAAATCACAGCTTGAGCTGCTGTGAGCTGTATGACCCTGTGTGAATCACTCAGCCTCTCAGACCCCCGACTTTCCTCACTTGTAAAACAGAGATAATAATACAACTTACCTCATAGAGTTATGAAAATTAACTGAATTTATATATGTAAAGCACTTAAGATAGAGCCAAGCACACAGTAAGAACCAGGAAAGTGTTTTCCATTATCTGTGGAATAGCACAAAGCCATATTTACAGAAAACAAAAAGAATTACTTAAAAGTATTTTTTTAGTTGTCTTGTTATTTATAGCTGTAATGTCGTGATCAACACATTTAATCTGAAGATTCTTGAGGGATTTTTAGTGTAAGCATCTTTAGGATAAAGGCTTAAATCTTCAAGGCTTTACTGGATAAATGACTTTAGAATATTGCCCAAAATCCTTCAATTTCATAAAGCGTGTGTCCTGCCTTCTTCCCCAGCTTCATCACCTACTACAGCCCCACCCTCTATAGACACAAGCCAAACTGACCTCCTTTCAGATGCTTTCTCACATTGTTTCCCCATCCATATTAAGGCCTGTGTAACATGCCGTTGCCTCTGCATGGTACATTCTTGCCCCTCCTTTGCCTTGTTAACTCCTCCTTCACCCTCACATATCATCACAGACCCTTCTAAAGGCAGCTTCACCTGATTTCTCTGACCTCTTCAAATCTCCCTCTTCTACATGCTCATAAGGCCGAGCAAGTATCCTTTGTGGCACTTCACACCCTAGAATTTTACATATAATTGTGTTTGCCTCTTTCCTCCACTCCATTAAAAGATGTCCATGTCTGATTTGTTTCACTACTGTGTCTCAGTACCTAGCACAACGACTGGCACATTCAAAGGCATTCAAGGCCGAGCGTGGTGGCTCACGCCTGTAATCCCAGCAGTCTGGGAGGCTGAGGCAGGTGGATCACGAGGTCAGGAGATCAAGACCATCCTGGCTAACACGGTGAAATCCCATCTCTACTAAAAATACCAAAAATTAGCCGGGCGGGCACCTGTAGTCCCAGCTACTCAGGAGGCTGAGGCAGGAGAATGGTGTGAACCCAGGAGGCGGAGTTTGCAGTGAACCGAGATTGTGCCACTGCACTCCAGCCTGGGCGACAGAGCGAGACTCCCTCTCAAAAAAAAAAAAAAGCATCCAAACTTTTTTAAAATTAATAAACCATATCTTTTATTTTTATTTTTATATATTTATTTATTTAGTCAGTGTCTTGCTCTGTCACCCATGCTGGAGGGCAGTGGTACAATCTTGTCTCATTGCAATCTCCGCCTCCCGGGTTCAAGCGATTCTCCAGCCTCAGCAAACCAAGTAACTGGGTTTACAGGGGCTTGCCACCACGCCTGGCTATTTTGTATATTTAGTAGAGCTGGAGTTTCACCATGTTGGCCAGGCTGGTCTTCAACTCCTGGCCTCAAGTGATCCACTCACCTCGGCCTCCCAAAGTGCTGGGATTCCAGGCGTGAGTCACTGTACCCGGCCAATAAGCCATATCTTTTATACAAAAAATTGTATAGCTGTTACCTCCAATGTATCATCACTGTGAAGACAAGATTAATTTTCTGATCTAAACACAAACTGGGTTAAAAACTAGCCAAATAGTAGTAACAGAAATAGTAATAAAATAATAAACATTTATTGATTACTTAGTATGTGTCAGGCTATGCAAAAGCTTTGCATTATTTAATTCTCACAAGGACACTATGAACACACACTAATATTCCTGTTTTACAAGTGAGATAACTAAGGTTTAGAGGGATTAAGTATCCCGCTCAGGGTCATACTAGAAAGTGGCAGAGGCAGGAGTGAGACCAAAGTTTTTAATTCTAGGGCCTCTGCTCTTAACTTTTGTGACTTTCTGACTTGGGCAGCTTCCCAGTGATACTTAGGCCTAGACTGGGTATGTCCAAAAAGCAGGAGATAGGATTTGTGGTGGGAGACAGGTGTGAGGGGAAGGAGAGAGCAGAGAGGTGGGGCATTTACTGAGCACATTGTTTTTATCTTGTGAACTTAATAAAACCAGTGTTAATATGGTTTCTCATACAGAGCTTTGCATAATACTGATCTTTTAAAAGATACTGGGTTTATGGTGCCAGTTCCATTTTATTTTGTGGATAAAGTTTGGCCATGAAATGATTTGAGCATCAGCAACACCCTAGAGAAATTACAGTATCTTTGGAAGGAATTAGATCACTATGTCTCAAACAGCTGTGAGTTAAAAGTGAAACAGATGCTTTTGTTTAAAAAGTAGGGATCTATTAACTGACAGAAAGAAATGGAAGAAAAGTAACAGTTATTGAGCCCCCGCCATTGCTCTTTTAACAATGAGAGAACAAGTGTGGGATCTGGCTCAATAAATACAACAAAACCATACAATCCAAAGCTGCCTTTTGCAATAAGAGCTAATTGGAAGCCTTGTTGGTTTTCATAAGTGGAAGAGTGTGTGTCTGAATCAAGCTCCCAATTTTCCATTAAGATCTTCAACTCTATTATGAGACAATATGTTACGCTGCCCTATAACCATATGGTGGACATCACTATTTTGCTACTATGAAATTCTTGATAAATAATGGCCTAATTACAGATGTAATTAATTTCATACTGTGGGTGTGTTCTCAAAACATTGTAGGTAAATGTATTTTAAGAAAGTGAACTGTACTTTAAATCCACTAATAGAAATAGTTCTTTAAAGGAATTCCAGAGGATTCTCTTAAATAAAAGAATCTTTAGTAATGTATATGTCTGCAAACTAATTTTTCTTTTTTTCACTAATTTTTCTTTTTTTCAAATATGGACTTTTGTGTATTGAGTTTTTTAAAGTAAGATTCTTCTCTTTTAAGGATGGTTGTTTTAAAAAAATCAAAATATCCTTGTGTTTAGCAGAGTTTTTGATGATATCAATTATTCTTACAGTAAAGGTTAGAGTTTATTCGTTGAATGATGACTTGAAGCCAGCCAAAAGAGAAACTGTCTTAACTTTCATAGTAAGTATTTTATTTACTTAAATAATACTTTAATTCATTTTTTCAGTACAAGAATCTCATTTCATAACCCTGTCCTCACACTACACTAAATCATTCAGTGTTCCATAACTGGTTATTGAACATCTGCAATGAGTATAGTATCATAGATCTATACCTCTAATACACGTATGTGAAAGGCTCATACAAATTAAATTTCAACAACTTGAAGGATTTTGAGCTAAACCATTTAAGTACAATCTTGCTGTTTTCTTTTTTAAAGAACACCCACTGGCCAGGCTTGGTGGCTCATGCCTGTAATCCCAACACTTTGGGAGGCCGAGGCGGGCAGATCGCAAGGTCAGGAGACCAAGACTAACCTGGCCAACATAGTGAAACCTCATCTCTACTAAAATACAAAAAATTAGCTGGGTTTGGTGGTGTGCGCCTGTAGTCCCAGCTACTCAGGAGGCTGAGGCGGGGGAATTCCTTGAACCCAGGAGGCAGAGCTTGCAGTAAACCGAGATTGTGCCACTGCATTCCAGGCTGATGACAGTGTGAAACTCCGTCTCAAAAAACAAAAAACAAAAAAACCCATAAAACCACCCACCAATCACTAAGAACTGACTGAATACCCATTTAACTATAAGATATACATAATGGATATATCTATTATGTATTTATTATGTGCAAAAGAATTATATTTAAAGGTACTTACTCTTAAGGAACTTAGAGTTTAATAACTAATATACTAACACAAAAAGTCTTGCTAGACCATGAGTTAAAGATTGGCAGTAATTCACCATTTATCAGACATGACATATGTAACAGATGCTGTGCATTGAACTGCCACGATCTCATCTAATTTATGTCACATACCTCAAACACTTTTGTGAGGAAATAAAATAGTACAACTAGTTATAACTGCTCAGTTATAACTGAGGTATACTACTAATGGTCCTTCAGTATAGGCTGCAGCACTTTTCTGCTACTCAAAAAAAACAAAAACAAAAACTTATCAGAATGCAGGTGCAAAAGAGTAGATACTGGAGAACAAAACCTTACTAAAATATAAACCAAATAAATTATACAGTAGGACAAATACCATGAGCTCAGAGGGAAGACCAATGAGAGGTGAGAGTGGGGGTGATACACATCCTTCTCTGGAACGGAATAGATAAAGGGAATCCTGAGTTGGGTGTTAATGAAAGGAATTGACATAAATTATTTAAAAATAGTGAAGACCATCCATGTAAGAAACAGTGTGAGTTAAGCTATGGGGACAAGAAGAAATTTTAAAAATGAAGCTAGCAAATAAACTGATTGACTGATAGAATGTCTGAAAGTGAACTAAGGAGAGCAATGTCAGCTCAAATGCCCTTTTTCTATCAGGGAATGCTAGGGGTGTGGACGTATGCTCTTTATCCAACATCTTCATAGTTGAACTTAAGTGATGCAGAATCATGACATAACCTGCAGAAAAATGAATGTCAGTCATCCCTTGTGAGAGCTGCCCCAGGAAGAAAAGATTGAGGAATCTGATCCCAGAGCCTTAAGGAATTAGTATAGAGGAAGTATCCTGAAAATAGTACCTGAGAAAGATGGTCTTAGAATTGTGCACAATGGATAGTGTGAAGAAGAAGAGTCATAAAAATACTCAGCTACAAGTATAATTCTTGTTCAAAATAGGCTTCTGTAAGTTTTACAATTAATTAAGAAATAAAACTTCTAAAATCCAACTGTGAATTTCAGTCATGGTAAATGGTGCTAAAATTTTTTGCTTTGGGTTTTTTTGTTTTTGTTTTTGTTTTTGTTTTGTTTTGTTTTGACAGGGTCTTGCCCTGTCACCGAGGCTGGAGTGCAGTGGTATGATCATAGCTCACTGTAGCCTCAAACTCCTGGGCTCAAGCCATCCTCCCACCTCAGCTTCCTGAGTAGCTAGGACTACAGGCACCCATCACCACACCCTGCTAACTCTTTAAACGTTTTTTTGTAGGCTGATCACAGTGACTCATGCCTGTAATCCCAGCACTTTGGGAGGCTAAACTGGGAGGATTGTTTGAGCTCAGGAGATCGAGACCAGCCTGGGCAACAGAGAGAGACCTCATCTCTACTAAAAATTAAAAGAAAAAAAAAAAAACAGCTGGGCATGGTGGCGTGTGCCTGTGGTCCCAGCTACTTGGGAAGCTGAGGTGGGAGGATTGCTTGAGCCTGTGAATTCAAAGCTGCAGTGAGCTATGATCACACCACTGCACTCCACCCTCGACAACAGAGCAAGATCCCTGTCTCAAAAGTTTGTTGTACAGATAGGGGTCTCACTTATGTTGCCTGCTATGTTTATGTGTTGAGTTGAGGCTGAATTGGACCCCCATGTGTAGTCCAAAGAAAGTCAAAACCTCATTTCAATTATTTGCTAACCTGAACACAAAATGAAGCTTATGGGGAAGCTTTGTGAGAACTATCAAGTTTGTTTAACCATTTGAGAGTTTTACCAAGCTGAAAAATGCCCATACTATACATTTATAAAACATCTAGCTAAAAAATATAGTTTATAGAATATTTGTTTTTGAAAGCTTCAAATGAACATATATAAAAATTAGATTCTGGTATTTAAAAAGCCTGCCAAATTCACATTTAGTTTATCAAAAACATCAGTGTTTGTTTGTCTGTTGTTGTTTTTACGTGTTGTTACACTTCGTCTTTTAGATGTAAGACAGAGAGTTGAATCTCTTCAAGATAGTGCGGAGAGATGGGGAAGGTTGGAAAAAGAAGGGAAGTGGCTGAAATGAACCATATTTCCCTTCTATAACATTTAATTGATCTTCATCCTTCATATTTAATTTGAAGACTTGGGTATTTGTCTTCAAATATTTGATTTACAAATATTTTTGTACATCAAAGATCATATAATCAGCTGAATTTTTTAAAATGTAGTTTCTGTCCTTTGAGGGTGTTTGTTTTTATTCACAGGATCCTGAAGGATCAGAAGTTGACATGGTAGAAGAAATTGATCATATTGGAATTATCTCTTTTCCGGACTTCAAGATTCCGTCTAATCCTAGGTATGTTAAAATACTTGTTAGTAAAATTTTCTCTAAAACCACTTATGGAACGTTTGGTGAAGAAGCAGATAACCGGTTAAAGGGGGCCACCTAGTGTTAGTTAACAAAAGGTGTCACATAGGTGGACATGCAAAATCTTTTGAAGTCTAGCGAGAATTTAAGCTCTGTTTCTGGCAAAAAAATTTCCAGTACTTCTCACTCATTCTTTTTACATATAGAAATAAAAATTGGGAAGAGGAAAAAATAGTACCCAGGTTTTTTTTCTCATAAAAACCATCAACTCCTGCCCGTCAAAGTACCTAATAGATTGTCAGTTTAAAAGGCTGGTGTGGTCTTGTTCCTTGCTCTGGTTGCTATAAAATATGGTGGTCTGTAGGTTTTGCCTGGATAAACTACCAGGAGGCAAAGTCCAAGAGGGAAGGAGTTCTCAGCGCTATATCTATTATTTGCCCTCACATGAAAGGATTTAAGAAAAAGTTTAAACAGGATTCAATGTAATACACATTCGATGAACACATTCTTGGTATGGACAATTCACAATAGGAGGGAGAGATACAAAATAAAGAATCCACAGTCCCTGCTTTCAAGAAACTTATAATAGCCCAGGTGCGGTGGCTCAAACCTGTAATCCCAGCACTTTGGGAGGCCTGAGGTCAGGAGTTTGAGACCAGCCTGGCCAACATGGTGAAACCCTGTCTCTACCAAAAATACAAAAAATTAGCCGGGCATGGTGGCAGGTGCCTGTAATCCCAGCTACTTGGGAGGCTGAAGCAGAATTGCTTGAACCCTGGAGACAGAGGTTGTGGTGAGCCGAGATCATGGATGCACTCCATCTTGGGCAACAAGAGCAAAACTCCATCTAAGAAAGAAAAAAAGAAAAGAAAAAAGAAAAGAAAAGAAAAAAGAAAAGAAGAGAAAGGAAAGGAAAGGAAAGGAAGAAATTTATAATAGAGCAGAATGAATAAGACAAGTGCACCTACACATGGCTGCACTATAATTTTAGAGCAAAATCTTTTTATGGTCATTTTCCCTCTACCCTCTAGAGAGGAGTTCACAGTTAATTCACTGTACTGAAATTTTTCTAAAAATTTAAATTGAATTTGAGGGGTTTAAATAACTTGGATAATTTAAAAATTGTGTACGTTCTTGAAAATACTACATGTTCCGTAGTGCAGAATTAAACCTATTATTATTACTGCTATCATTTCTCCAACTTCATCTTGTGCCACTTGACCCACGGAAAATTATGTGCCAGCCATGAAGGTCTGGCATGTCCAGTGCTTTCCTACCTCCGTGCCTTTGCACATGTCATCCCCTCTACTTGGAATGGGCTTCACCTGGCTCTTCATAAGCCTGACTTCCTTTCACTGTTATGACCCAGAGTAGAAGCTGCTTTTATAAAAAGCCTATTCCTGGATGCATGATCTAATGTAATCTCTTGCTTTGTTTTACTCCCTATCTCAGCATCTTGTTTATTTTCTTCATGACACTTATCTCAATGTCATCATCATTTCTTTACTTGTTTGCTGGCATTTTTATTCCCCACTAGCTTATAAACTCTTTAAGGCGGGCCTTGTCTGTATTGCACACCAGCAGTTCAACATAATAGGCCCTTGATAAATATTCATAAAATTGAAGATGATGATGGTAATAATCATTATTATAATACTATTAACATTTGTGGACTGCGTAGCCAATTTGCAAGGTAGGCTCTCTCTCTCTTTCTATACACACACACACACACACACACACACACACACACACATATATACATACACACACTTTTTTTTGAAACAGAGTCTCACTCTGTCACCCAGGCTGGAGTGCAGTGGTGTGATCTTGGCTCACCATAGCCTTGATCTCCCGGACTCAAGCAATTCTTCCACCTCAGCCTCCTAAGTAGCTGGGACTACAAGCATGCAACCCCCACCAGACTAATTTTTGTATTTTTTTGTAGAGATGGGGTTTCATCATGTTGCCTGGGCTGGTCTTGAACTCCTGGGCTCAAGCGATCCTCCTGCCTTGGCCTCCCAAAGTGTTGGGATTACAGGCATGAGCAACTGTGCCTGGCCTCGTATATATTTTTTAATAAAGGTTATTAACTAAAGCCAGGTCATTTTCATCCTTAAAAAACCATGCTTTGTTTCCAACCATAAATGCATTTTTGTGAGGCATAAATTTTATCATCTGTATAAGCTTGTCTTGTATTATATGTTTCTAGAGACATTATTATGGATTTTGTACTATATTTTGGATTTTAGTATTATGTTAGCATAATTAGGCTCCAAGATTAAATAAATTCTCAGAAATAATAAGCTCTTCAAATCAAAACTAATGACTGTATTGAGATAAAATGCCAGGAAAAATAACCTAATACATGAAAAACTAGTTACTAAACAATATCTATTATCTATTATCCTAAAAATGCTCAATTATTTATTGCTTAAAAATCAGTCACAAATAAAATATATTACTTAGGTTTTATATATCTTTGTGTATTCTTCTCTCTTTAAAACAGGAATTTATTAGATCTCCTCTGAGTGAATTAAAAACATTTGATGACGTCTATAATTTTAAATATTTTGCTTCCACAGATATGGTATGTGGACGATCCAGGCTAAATATAAAGAGGACTTTTCAACAACTGGAACTGCATTTTTTGAAGTTAAAGAATATGGTAATTTCTGACAATTAAAAGTTTTTCTTTCTGTGTTTTTTGTTTTTTGTTTTTTTTGAGACGGAGTCTCACTCTGTCGCCCAGGCTGGAGTCCAGTGGCACGATCTTGGCTCACTGCAACCTCCGCCTCCTGGGTTCAAGCAATTCTCTGCGTCAGCATCCCAAGTAGCTGAGATTACAGGCACCAACTACCATATACAGCTAATTTTTGTATTTTTAGTAGAGACAGGATTTCACCATCTTGACCAGGCTGGTCTTGAACTCCTGACCTCGTGATCCACCCACCTTGGCCTCCCAAAGTGCTGGGATTACAGGCATGAGCCACCGCACCCAGCCAATTAAAAGTTTTTCTATAAAAAGTTAGTGTTTTGTAATAATTCTTTTTAATAATGTAGTTAATGCAAAATTAATCCCAGGTGAAGATGAGGCAGCCTGCTCGTATGGCTAGAAGTACTGGCCAGGGGTTGGAGGGAGGAGTGGTAGTTGAATGCCTAGGTTCTAGTTCCAGCATGTCTTTAACCCTGATCAAGCAGAACCACCTCTGTGGACTTGTGTTCCCCATCAGAGAGCTGGAAGAGATCTAGTCCCCTGAAGAGCTTGACTAGTAAATATCCTTTCTAGAATTGTGATTATTACTAGGAGAAACTTAAATAGTCATAGATGAGGTGACTGGAACCCAGTAAAACCAATAAATGATTTACTTGAGTCTTGAAACCAATTAGTGACAAAACAAAAACAATTAGGTTTCCTTACCCCTAGTCCAACCCTATTTTCTGGCTCCTAAATTCCTAATATATTAATTTGAATATTTAAGATATTCTTATTTTGAAATAAACTATATTAATAGACTAACAAGTAATGTAAATAGTTTAATCTTTCATTTCTTATAGTAGTTTACTAGCATTTCTGTGTGCTCTGCTATCAAATTTAACTTTCTCCTGCTTGAAGCCATTTTTTATTCCCCCAAGAGATTCATAATGACATGGAGAAGAATAAATACTGACACAAATTTTAACAATTAACAAGAAAAACAGTGACAAAACAAATGCGTTATGATGAAACTCAACCTTAAAGATTACAGCTCTCTGTAACATATAATCCTAACCCATCTCCCTTCTTCTAAGTGTTTTTGCTATTTTCTCTGTATATCGAGAATCCACCCACCTCTTACTATCTGTAGCCTCTCTTATCAGTTCATCAGCACCCTCCCTCCTCGACTACAGCAAAAGCCTCCTAACTGATGTCTCTGCTTCCAAGCTATCTTGCTTGGTATTAGCCAAAATAATCTTGAAATGTAAATCTCATTGTTTTGTCACTATTGAAAAGTTTTTTTGTTTTCAAGGAACCTATACTCTAATGGAAGAAATAACCTATTGCCTATAATAAATGCTGTGATCAAAATATAGGCAAGGTGCTTCTGGATTGACCTCTGATTGGTGGAATGGGAAGGCTCTGCAGAGATTGTTGTTGATGATGATGATGACGATGATGATTATGATGATAAGGTGGATGTTGTGTTGATGTTACAGCTTGTCCAACTATACCAGAAAGTCTAGCTGTTTGCTAGGCTTTAAAGTCTGCTCTAATCAAAATGGTAATATTACCTGTTTGTTTTTATTTTCAGTCTTGCCACATTTTTCTGTCTCAGTAGAACCAGAAAGTAATTTCATTGGTTATAAGAACTTTAAGAATTTTGAAATTACTATAAAAGCAAGGTAAGAACATTTGGGGTTTTTTTGTTTGTTTGTTTTTGTTTTTATTTTTCAAATTAACTCAACTCTGGTTGATGATAGTTTCCCAAAGTGAGATCTGTGATTTATTATCAAAGTCTGCCATGATTTGGGGACTAATTGATAAAGGAGACATCATGCTGATAGTTTATTTGCTTATTCTGATTTTAGCTGATCCCGAGTTTAGCTTTGTTGGCTATTCACCAGCAAAAACAAAGAAAATAAAAGTGCTAAAGATCTAAGCTTGGTGACTAGGGTGACTTAGGATATTGGGACTGAGATATGAAGGATTCACTTCCTGTCATTTTTTAAATGACTTAATCAGCCAGCTAATGCTACATAACTACTTCAAAACCCAGTGCCTTAAAACTACCACCATTTATGAGTCAGCTGGGAAGTTCTGCTGATCTGGGCCACGCTGGTGTCAGCTGGGCTTGCCCATGTACCTGCAGCCAGTTGGTAGGTCAGCTGGGGGCTGGCTGGTCTAGGAAGGTCCTGTCCATATGTCTGGCAGTTGGATGTGGCTAAAAGTGTGTGTGCCTCTCATCATCCAGCAGGCTAGCCTGTAGCAGCAGCAATGCTCAAAGAGAGGGAATGAAGCATAAAAGTCCCCCTGAGCCTAGGCTTGGTGCTGGCACACCATCACTTCCACACATTCTTTTGTCCAAAGCAAGTTACAAGGTCAGCCCAGAGGAAATAGACTCCTCCCACACGTTGTGGACACAAGGAACTGTACAAAGGTTGTGGATACATGGGGAGGTAGAGAATTGGGGGTTAGTTTTGCAAGCAACTTATCACAAAAACTTAGGTCATTTTAAAATTACAATATAATGTAGTTATACCAATCTATATAACTATACGTGTGGGGTACTCTTCTAAGCACTCAGCATATATTAGCACATTTAATATTTACGACAACTCTATGCATTGATATTGTTACTATTCCCATGTTACAAGTGAAAAAACTGAGGTACATCAATGTTCAATAATTTGCTCAAAATCACACAGCTAGTAAGTTGCACAGCCTTTCTGGTTCCAGAGTCCATGCCTCAAACATTACCCTATGCTAACTCTCTTTTTAGCATTTATTTGGAAAACAGAGTGTTTATTACTTGGTCTAAACCAGCATAAAAGTCTCACTTGAGAGAAAATTATAGAAACTGACCTCCTATAATGGGGAGTATTTATTCAAACCATAAATAAAGAAAGTTAGCTCTTGCTTTAGTATTATTTGCTGGGTAGAAAGTTTACTTTATTCTTACTTTAATTCTAAACTAAAAAGGACAACATGTAGTTTGAATTTTTTATGAAGAATCAGTCTCATATAACAGTGAGATTGGACATGTACCTTTTAAAGACATAAAATAAAATAGAGAGTAGCTGGTATCAAAATTATCAAGGAAGTAATTTGGCCTATAGGAGAGGGCCCTGATTCTAAGTCTTGTGATCTCCCCTAGATCAATTTTTTTCATCTAGCACATAACGTTATTAATATGGCTTTATGAGAATGAAATGTAATAGTGCATGAAGACACTTTATTTATTTATTTATTTATTTATTATACTTTAAGTTCTAGGGTACATGTACATAATGTGCAGGTTTGTTACATAGGTATACATGAGCCATGTTGGTTTGCTGCACCCATTAACTCATCATTTACATTAGGTGTTTCTCCTAATGGTATCCCTCCCCCTGCCCCCCATCCCACGACAGGCCCCGGGGTGTGATGTTTCCCACCCTGTGTCCAAGTGTTTTCATTGTTCAAGTCCCACTTGTGAGTGAGAACGTGCAGTGTTTGGTTTTCTGTCCTTGTGATAGTTTGCTCAGAGTGATGGTTTCCAGCTGCACCCATGTGCCTGCAAAGGACATGAACTCATCCTTTTTTATGGCTGCATAGTATTCCATGGTGCATATGTGCCACATTTTCTTAATCCAGTCTATCATTGATGGACATTTGAGTTGGTTCCAAGTCTTTGATATTGTGAATAGTGCCGCAGTAAACATACGTGTGCATGTGTCTTTATAGTAGCATGATTTATAATCCTTTGGGTATATACCCAGTAATGGGATGGCTATTTCTAGTTCTAGATCCTTGAGGAATCGCCACAGTGTCTTCCACAATGATTGAACTAGTTTACAGTCCCACCAACAGTGTAAAAGCATTCTTATTTCTCCACATCCTCTCCAGCATCTGTTGTTTCCTGACTTTTTAATGATTGCCATTCTAACTGGTGTGAGATGGTATCTCATTGTGGTTTTGATTTGCATTTCTCTGATGATCAGTGATGATGAGCATTTTTTCAGGTGTCTTTTGGCTGCATAAATGTCTTCTTTTGAGAAGTATCTGTTCATACCCTTTGCCCACTTTTTGATGGGGTTGTTTGTTTTTTTCTTGTAAATTTGTTTAAGTTCTTTGTAGGTTCTGGATATTAGCCCTTTGTCAGATGGGTAGATTGCAAAAATTTTCTCCCGTTCTGTAGGCTGCCTGTTCACTCCGATGGTAGTTTCTTTTACTGTGTAGAAGCCCTTTAGTTTAATTAGATCCCATTTGTCTATTTTGACTTTTGTTGCCATTGCTTTTGGTGTTTTAGTCATGAAGTCCTTGCCCATGCCTGTGTCCTTAATGGTATTGCCTAGGTTTTCTTCTAGGGTTTTTTTGGTTTTAGGTCTAACATTTAAGTCTTTAATCCATCTTGAATTAATTTTTGTATAAGATGTAAGGAAGAGATCCAGTTTCAGCTTTCTACATATGGCTAGCCAGTTTTCCCAGCACCATTTATTAAATAGGGAATCTTTCCCCATTTCTTGTTTTTTTTCAGGTTTGTCACAATCAGATAGTTGTAGATGTGTGGCTTATTTCTGAGGCCTCTGTTCTGTTCCATTGGTCTATATTTCTGTTTTGGTACCAGTACCATGCTGTTTTGGTTACTGTAGACTTGTAGTATAGTTTGAAGTCAGGTAGCATGATGCCTTCAGCTTTGTTCTTTTGGTTAGGATGAAAGACACTTTAAAGTACCTCAAGTGTTTTATGTAATTTCAAATTGTTACATTTTATCTGAATCCTGTTATTGTAACCATGTTAGTAAAACAGTTTTATGCTATTGTCTGACAGATATTTTTATAATAAAGTAGTCACTGAGGCTGATGTTTATATCACATTTGGAATAAGAGAAGACTTAAAAGATGATCAAAAAGAAATGATGCAAACAGCAATGCAAAACACAATGGTAAGATGTTAAGACACAGTCACTCACACCTACAGATGCATCCAGAGGTGAGAGATGGGAAGTTACTTCAAAACTATCTAGTCCAGTCCCCCATTTTAGATAGGTTGAAACTTAAAATCCTCCATGGGCTTCCCTTTGCCTTTAGGGTAAAGTTCATTTTTCTTGGCATCAGCCTCCCTTGCCAGCTGATCTCATGCCCTTTCCTCTCTCCCTCCCCTTTGTATTAATCACTCCAATTTCTCTAACTGACCAAAGTCTCTCTTGCCTCCAGGTCTTTACAATGTCATTTATTCTACTTGAAAATGCTCTTTCCCGTTGTCCCCTCCTGCCCCTTCTTTTCCTGGCTAATTCCTTCTCATTCTTTAAGTTTCAACATTGACAGCCTTTCTCTGGGAAGCCTCCCCTGACTCTTCTACACTAGGTTAGCTGCCCCTGTTGTATAGCCTCTTTTCTTAACGCATTCTTCACATTTCATTGCAGTGGTTCTCAACCAGGGATGATTTTTTATCCCCAAGGGGGCATTTGGCAATGTCCAGAGACTTTTGTGGTTGCTACTGGTATTTACTAGGGAGAGGCCAGGGATGCTGCTAAATTCCTACCGTGTGCAGAGTAGGCCCCTACAACAAAGAATTATCCTGTTCAAAATGTCAATAATGCTGAGGGGTTGAGAAACTCTTCTTTATTGGAATGACTTGTTTACTTATCTATCATTTTCAATATTAAACTATTTGTGAGTCTGAATCATTTCCCTTATATGCCCAGAGACAGCATAGTATCTTGCAAGGAAATATTCATGAAGTTATTTGTCCAAAGCTTAGGGCTAGTGATTGCTGGAACTAAGATTAGGGCGCAGGTTCCCTTTCCTTTATTCAGAGTTCTTTACATTATACCACAGATGATATGAGTTCATGTCATTTTTGCATATTCATATGGTTTGCATCATCAATCATTTATCCTCTACAATCTTATTAATTTAAGATGTAAATTAAATGCATTTTTAAAATGCAAAATTTCTATGCTAGACATTGGGATTTAAAGCTAAATAAGACAAAAATGTCTGCCCTCAAGTCACTCAATTGTGTAAGAAAAAATAAGGCAAACTTTATTTTACTGTTGTGTCAATAATTAAATAATAGAATATGACTTAGACCCCACATCCCCTTACTCATTGTGTGTTTTAAAATTAGTATTTAAATTTGTAAGCAGTGAAGTACAAATTAAATATTATAAAACCCAACAAACTCTTAGTTAAGGGCAGAAGTACGCTGAGAGGCCTAGAAAGATGAATGATGATGCAGGAACTGGAAGAAGGAGTGTTTGTCAGCTATTACCAAAAAGACCTGTTGGACCATGTGATGTTCAAGACTCTTCTACTTCTATAATTCTATACAAATAATTAGAAAATAACATCCTGGGCTTAATTATGGACTCAGTTATCTACTTTACTATTGGCGCTAAATCATTCTTCTGACATCTGCCTTCAATTTAGAGGCTAGTAAAAGCAGATTTTATTAATTTTTCCTTGTAAGTTCTTCTCTGAAATAACTCCTCCATTTTCTCCTTTTAAAAAGTTGATAAATGGAATTGCTCAAGTCACATTTGATTCTGAAACAGCAGTCAAAGAACTGTCATACTACAGTTTAGAAGATTTAAACAACAAGTACCTTTATATTGCTGTAACAGTCATAGAGTCTACAGGTAAGTGTGTGTGTATGTGTGTGTGTGTGTGTGTGTACTTTCTTTTGAAAAATATTTAGACAGAATATTAAAGGTATAAATAATTTCTAATTTCTATTATTATTTCACATTGTATTTTCTTTCATAGTTAAATATAATTATAAGAAGTAGATTTTTATATAGTTATAAAAAGGCAATAGAGCTCTGCTTCTTTATAGTCATTGGGCAAGCCTTTGGGTCCTGATTACCTCCACTTTTACTGCAAAAATGGGAAAACACTACCCGATTCATATCCAAAGTAGTTCTGCAGGTTCTCTGCCTTGACCATTTGGCATCCCAGTGTTCTCACCTGGTGAAAATCAAAACCAAAATAAGATTATGTATGTAAAACTATTTGATAAAGTACTATACAAATAAAGGTATTACTATTATCATTATTATAGTCTACACAATGATGGAGTCAAACTGAATGTTTCCTAAAGCCTAAAGTTTTCAACATTATTTTAATGTTTCTTCTTTTTTTTCCTCAATTTATTTTAAATAAGTTCAGTTTAAGCAGTGTCTACAAGATATTTAAAGTATTGCCAAACACACAGGCTTGCAAACATTAATGATGTATGATGCCAGCACTGAAGTGGCTTACAAATTAGCATCAGGTATAAGACAGGTGAAGAAAGAACTGTTGCAAGGAAGAATTCCATATGAGCTCTAAGCAAAATATTAATGCAATAGGATTCAGAGGAAGGCAAGCTTCTAGATGATTGTTGAGCAACCAAGAACAGTGTTATGAAGATGATAAGCCTTGAAAAATAATTAGGGTTTTGAGGCAGAGTTGGTAGACAGGGTGAAACAGAAACCCTCCATAGAGAGGGCAAATGAAGAAGGGTAGATGGTGAAGCTTAATCTTTAAGGACGGCAGATTATCCAGTTTGACTAAAATATAGAATATGTATAGAGAGTATTAGAGATGTAATATTGGAAAGGAGTTTGGGAATATTAAAGCTTCAAATGTTATTCTTAATAATTTAACTTAATCTTTACCTGGAGGGTAACATTATTGGGTTCTTGCCAGTAGAACTTCAAGTGTTCTTTTCTTTTCTTTGCTTTCCTTTCCTTTCTTTTCCTTTCCATTCCTTTCCTTTCCTTTTCTTTTATCTTTTCTTTTCTTTCCTTTTCTTTGAGATGGAGTCTTGCTCTGTCGCCAAGGCTGGAGTACAGTGGTGCAATCTTGGCTCAATGCAACCTCCGCCTCCTGGGTTCAAGCAATTCTCCTGCCTCAGCCTCCCGAGTAGCTGAGATTACAGGCAATGCCACCATGCCTAGCTTTTTTTTTTTTTTTTTTTTTCTCCCGTAGTTTTAGTAGGGATGGGATTTCACCATGTTGGCCCGGCTGGTCTTGAACTCTCCTTCAGGTTTCTTTCTACACCAAGCTCCCTTTTTCTGATTTTCTCTATGTATCTATGCTCTGTGAACAACACCCCCTTACCCCCCACACCCACCTCTGTAAGGCTCAGTCTCTGGCCTGACCCTTCCCTCTCTCCTCAATCCCTTGAATACAGTCAACTGAAACTCAGGCCACTGATGAAAAGTGGTGTCCCCCTTCCTAGCATCCTTCCTCAGTCCAGTCCTATAGCTCTACTTCTCTAAGAACTTCTCTATATATGAGCTTGTGCATAAGGCCCTGGAAACTCCTGAGATCTAAACTCTTCTCTGCAGTGCCCCTCTGAAACAAGACCTATATCCTACTTACTACTGATAAATGAATGAATGCAAGAACGGAGTGAGTGAATGAATACGTCTGTGGAAAAATATAGAGACAAAATGGATATCCATACAGATCATAATACTCCTAAAAACTGTCAACATGATGCTTGCCATTTCCTTAGGTGGATTTTCTGAAGAGGCAGAAATACCTGGCATCAAATATGTCCTCTCTCCCTACAAACTGAATTTGGTTGCTACTCCTCTTTTCCTGAAGCCTGGGATTCCATATTCCATCAAGGTAAATGGGGTGAGGGGATAGACCTTGCTACATATGATCATTTTATTCCGTTAATGGAAAACATGTGGGTGGCAAACAGGGTAAGAATGTTGCCGAGGTAAGTCACAGAGGGAGCTTATTCTGTGAAACCTGCCCCTCCTGGTGGACACAGACAGGGATGGGAAATTGCAGGTCAACTGCAGCCTCGGCAGTGACTTCAAAAGTTCGGGCAAGATAGCCTTGTGTTAGACATCCCTAAATAAGCATTGCATTAAATTATATGTAAATAAAATCCCATAAGACTCTAGTTCAAAAAATATAAACATTTAAAAATATTTGGTGGCAAATTCTTAAAAAGCCTTAAGATGGAGATATCATTCCTTGAAAATAGAGTCCTTTCTCTATGTTTTTGCCTCCAGTGTGTCTCATTTGTTTCCCTCTGTCTCTGTGTTGTCGTTGTGCAGAACCCTGTTCAATCTCTTGTCTCTGTATTGCTCTCTGTTCTTTTCATTTTTGCTTCTTTCTGCCCCTGAATCTCTTTTTTTCTTTTTTGCTTACCCCTCTGCTTTCATTTTTCTCTCCTTCACCTTCTTTTCCTCTTCTAAATGCTGATAGTATAGAATTGAAACATTCATGTGGTTTTTATATTTTTATCTATTATTATGTTTAATTATAAATAATATATTTTGTTTATTAAATGGAAATGTTTATTCCCTGCCCCTAATTTAGAAAGCTAGAGCAAAAATTTTTTTTGTTCTTTGGAAAATGTGTGATTTTTAAAGATCAACTAAAGTACAATCAAAATGTGTTATTTATTATTTACTGTGGGACGTGGGTAAAAGCCAGTGTCCCACAATAAAAGCCCAACAGTAAAAGCCCACATTTACTGTGGGACATGGGTAAAAGCCAATAATAAATAAGAGTAAATATTATTTACCATGTCCCACAGTAAATAATAAAAAAAGGATTTACCAAGCCCAAAGCAAGGTTTGGACATGCTTGTAGGTTCTTACATATATATACTATATGTATAAAATAATATATAACAAAGTATCATAAAATGTATATACATTAATGTATAATATAATATATAATAAAATATATAAATATAACAATATTATATAGAACATTAGCTTAAAATATATTTTATATAAAAATAAAATAACAAACTATATCTGTGTGGAATTATGTGTATGTATATATATGTATGTGCATATATATATTTATATATGACAGTAAGAGGTAAATGTTAAAGGAAAAAAGGTGTATCTATTTTTGTTTCTCATGTTCGAGACTTATTCCCAGAAACAATTGCCTCATTTTCTCCTTTATCCAGTCCTAAACCAATCAAAGAAATACAGAAGTTAGACAGCAGAAGACCTTATCACATCTACTCCTTGACTGACTTAATAGAATGATATTTATGTTTTGAGTCTGCTTGATTTATGGGAGAATCTATTCAAGAATGATTTAACTAAATAGAATTAAATCTTTCTATTAGCTGAGAATATACTTCTCTTTACTAAATTAAACAGAAGTAAACCAGGTGTGGTGTTGCATGCCTATATAGTTCCAGCTACTTGTGAGGCTGAGGTGGGAGGATGGCTTGAGGCCAATAGTTCAAGGTTGCAGTGCGCTATGATTGTGCCTGTGAATAGCCACTGCACTCCAACTTAGGCAACATAGTAAGTCTCTGTCTCAGAAGAAAAAATTTTTAAGAAAAAAATACATAAGTAATTTATACTTTGGTGGAGAGGAAGGAAATTTATTGCAGAATTGTTGTGCTTTAAAAGAAGTGATAAGCTGTTGAAACAGATTTGGATTGTTTTGACAAACAGGTGCAGGTTAAAGATGCGCTTGACCAGTTGGTAGGAGGGGTCCCAGTAACACTGAATGCACAAACAATTGATGTCAACCAAGAGACATCCGACTTGGAGCCAAGGAAAAGTGTAACACGTGTTGATGATGGAGTAGCTTCGTTTGTGGTTAATCTCCCATCTGGAGTGACGGTGCTGGAGTTTAATGTGAGCTGAATTCTCCTGTTGTGTTTTCTAGGACAATGTGTACTCTTGACCGTATGTTTTGGCTAGTGTGCAGAACAGATGTGGCAGATTTTACACTTGAGTCCAGTGAACAGTTCCATAATTTTGCATCCAAGAAAAATGAGTCCCAGAGACAATCTGCTAATCCATTGAATGGTCCTTGAGGAAGATAAATGTATCAATTTTTTTATTTGGATGTTAATTACTTTAGCTTACACCAATAAGACCATATCAGACTCTAGAAGTTTCAGAATAGGTATAGCAGTGCACATGAGTGTTAGGAATATCCTCTTTCCCCCCTCACCTTTAATCCCCTGAAGAGCCACAAAAGGGTCAAAAATATGGAAGCCTCCCTTTTTTCTAACTGCAGGAACCATTCTACTTTAGAGCTCACTTAATAGTCTTCTCTCCCAGCAAATATTATTTAAGTTCCCAATCTCAAATAAAATATGAGCAAGTTGGCCGGGTGTGGTGGCTCACACCTGTAATCCTAGCACTTTGGGAGGCCAAGGCAGGTGGATCATAAGGTCAGGAGATCGAGAGCATCCTGGCTATCATGGTGAAACCCCATCTGTACTAAAAATACTAAAAATTAGCCAGGTGTGGTGGCGGGTGCCTGTAGTTCCAGCTACTTGGGAGGCTGAGGCAGGAAAATGCCGTGAACCCGGGAGGTGGAGCTTGCAATGAGCCAAGATTGCGCCACTGCACTCCAGCCTGGGCGACAGAGCAAGACTACATCTCAAAAAAAAA